TCAAAGGAAAGTGAGAAATTAAGGATTAGACAACGAAGAGAGGGCAAGGAGAAAAGCTAGGAAACATGACAGGGGCAAAGCCATACATTCATATGAACAAGATGGTTGAGGCAATGATCCTGAGAATCTTCAGCAGGTTTTTGAAACTAGCAGTTAATTGGTAGGATTCTCACCCTAACTATATATACTGATACCTGTGAAGTAAGCAACTGCACTGAAGATAGCAATATGTAATACTAGGGTGATGTTTGGAAGGCCTGTCATTCTGGTCTTCTAAATACATACTGCTTGTCATGTCATACCAATTACTGCCATACTGTCTCTCAAGTAATTTTTTTTTTAAAAAAGGGGGTAATAAATGAAAACAGACAAGAAAAAAAAATGTCATAGGACTGTTCTGCTACAATGCTGTATATGGTTAGATTTCTAAATTTCTGTATAAAAATATGTAATTGTTTATTCCTATTTTTTAAAATATTTTTTTCTTCACATTCTGTAGGGGTTTAAAGTTTAACATATCAATACTTGATGGAAAATACCCGTTCCATGTTATGTCTAAAATGTTTGATATTGAGATAGATAGTGAGGGTAAGCTCAACTGCCTATGTTATAGGGTAATAATATCATTAAGCTTCTCTTCTGGAGGGTTAACAACTCAAGTTTGCAAACCAAAAATTAGAGAAAATGAAGGGCTGCAAGGACAGCCAACATTTTGGTCCTAACCTTTCAAGGTCAGTGAGGACTCAGGACATAGGAGAACCTGTACTGTAACATCCTGTAACTCAGTTGTGTCCCAAATTTTCTGATCAAGGAGATTATGGAGCCACAGAGGAAAGTGATTGATGATCTAGAGTGTGCCTAAGGAGAGTCACATGGAGAGAAAACATTCTCTCAGGCTTTCACAAACAGCAAATTGGTCAAGCAATGGCCGTGACTCATCCACATGGATGATACTGACAAAGGATCTACGAAGTGCGGTACAGGGTTTCAGGATAAGTCTTGAGAGGACTTGACTGACCTTATCAGATACAAAAGTTACATTTCTTGTTATACAGGTCTTGCTTTACCTTGTTCTTAACCATCCAGCAGAAAAGTATAAAAATGAGGCATAAAAAGTAAAGTCATTTTAATAGGCTGAGCTGTAAGAGGCTCAAGTCAATAACTTCTGACATTGCCAGTCCTACAGATAACCCACTATTATTATGGACTAATGGACTATATTGGAATATTTTGCTGAATTCATGCACCTACAATATTTAAATTACAATGGCATACTCATCTCTGACAAAACTAAACAAAAAAAGGGGATACAAATGAAGGACCATTTGTATCTGTATATTCAAAATAGGATAGATAGCTACTTTCTCTTAATTCAATGAATAGAAAAATTTTTACTAATAGTGTTTATGGACAAGATATCATGTCTTCATCTTGTACTATGTACAACCATTAAGAATACAACAATATGCTATGTATTTTTTTGAAACCGTCTTATTAATCGGTTTTGAAATTGTCTCATTGCTATTTCTTTCTCAATAAAATTATTTTTATAAAATGAAATATCAAGAATATTGGTTTTCAATAATCCACAATGCATTATGAGAAATATGTCTCTCAAAGGGAAATTAAGGTAAAAATTAGCCAAGCACAAGTATAGAACAAAAAGAGGCATCTAACTACCATGGGAATCACCTGGATTAAAGGCATCTGACCTCAATGAGAGGCACCTGGAGTTAAAGGCGTCTAACCCCCAATACTGAAAGCCTGAGTCAATGAAAGTTCTTCATTCCCCTCTTTCCTTTGCCCTCCATCTTTCTACTGCTATTGTTCATTGATCTTCAATAACGGTGTATGGGTATATACGCTTAGTAGCTTATTCCTTTCTGCTTTAATGTGGACCTTTTTTTTTGCACCTATGCTGTTGATTGCTAAATGTAATAGTCTGATCATGACACTGAATAAATGTGTCTAAAAAAAAGTGTACAGTTGGCAATTCTTTCCTTTTCCTGCACAAGAACTATTTTTCACCCATTCAACTATAACAAAACCAGCCAGAGCAAAGATGACTGCCAAAATATCAAGGGTCAATAAGATTACTATAAAATATCAGAAAACCAAAAAATAAGGGTCAATTTGTCCTCTAAAAACCCCTTAGGCATGCGCAAAAGCCAGATTACATGGTCCTAACCACAGTCCCACCTCAGTTGTATTGCAGTTTTCACACACACACACACACACACACACACACACACATTTTGGATGCCATGCCACTTCCTCTAAAAACTCCCCCTCCAGATGGGTGGGCTGAGTTAGGTACCTTGTTGAGCACGGATTGCTGTCAGTCCATAACCTGATCCTCCTAAGATTCCTCTAGCACTTTAAGCGACTCAGGGCCTGTTTCTACTAAGAAATGGGCTCTTCTCACTGGCCTGCTCTCATTCTAAGGCATTAACTTTTGCCTTCTCCATGGCTCCCTGGGAGTACTGAGAATTGAACACAGGACCTCATGCAGTTAGGCAAGTACTCTGCAACTGGGCTACCTCCATAGCCCTGCTAGTTTGTCTTTTAATAAATCTTACTCTTTTTACTCCTGAGTGTTCTGCTCAATTTTTGTTCAAAATACCAAGAACCTGGAAAAAAACTCAGGAAATATTTCGGAATAACATTAGTTACTTGTTTTTGTTTTCTTGTTTTTGAATTGGTCAGGACTCCATGCCTTTCAAATACAATCCTGTTCTTTTATAAATCCTTAGCATTCTCAATGGCTCCCAACAGTGCCTTCTAGCTTATTAGGCTCAGCACATTAGCCATGTTCCTCACCACTTTGTTGAACCTCTTACTGAACCTCCCCACCAGACAGTAGCTGCTGGTTGGCTTTTTCACCACCGCTCTTAGTCAAGCCCTCTACATCCCCAGCACACAGGTTTAGGCACGCAAGAGAGCAGGAGGATTACTTTTATAGAGTTGTTACTTGACAGGGCAAATAATAAGCAGCATGTGAGTTGGAGTTGACTGTGGATGGAAGGTTGTAATGTGAGGAAAGACTGGCGAAGTAAAGCCACCTCAAGCCCGCGACGCCTCCCTGCCCCCTCCGGAACGCAGGTGCTCGGGACTGACTAACGGAAAAAAGGCCCGGGCCCTAGACCACCCACAGGGCCCAGGAGCTTCCTCAGGGGTGGGCGCTAACCTCCCAGTCCACTGATTGGCTGCCTGGGCCTCAGGCCGCGAGCGATTGGTCGCTGCCCAGAGGGCCGCAGGACTTGCATGAGGCACGCACCTCACTTCCGAAGGAGCCGGCGAGGCGATGGCGGCAGAAGCGTCGGAGGTCGGGTTCGCCTCCTCCACCTCCACACAGGTGGGAAATAAGCGTCCGCCCTGGGGTACTTCCGAGAGCCAGTGCACTCGCTGCGGGAGAAGGGTGTCCACAGCTTCCGGTAAGGCCCGCGGGGTGTCATCCCGGCCCACGGCCAACGGGAGGTGTGGGGCGCAGCCTCGAGGGGGGAAACGCC